GTTCCAAGAAGGCTCCACATCCAATTTGCACCGCTCAGGTGACCCTGAGAAAAACAGACAAATCTCCAAGGGGCCTCAACGACCTTCTAAAAAGGATGCAAATGACCAGCTTTCTGCAAGGATGATCAATCCTTCCCTTCCCCGCCATCCAGAGTGGAAGTAGCTTCTTGGATGAGACGTGAAATGTCTTCCAAGAAAAAAACAGAAAGTCCAGTTGCCTCTTGAAAAAAAAAAAAAAAAGCACCTTTGGGACATTATCCCCTTCGTCTTCTGCTCTTGTTCCAGTCCCCAGGGTGGAACCCAACCAACCGTCTTCGCTTTTCTTTTCCCAGCACCAGTTTGTAGCCCAGGCAGGGCTCACGCAGAGGCTGACCCTTGACCTCTTGGAGAAAGTACACAATCCTGACCAGCTCCCCAGAGGTGAGGCAGAAGAAGAGGAACAAGAGGTGAGAACAAAGGGGTCTTCATCTGAGGAGTCATCCACAGTCCAGGGGTTCTTCAAACTTGGCCGCTTTAAAGACTTGTGGACTTCAACTCCCAGAATTCCTGCTCCAGTCATGTTAACTCAGGAATTCTGGGAGTTGAAGTCCACAAGTCTTAAAGTTGCCAAGTTTGGGGACCTCTGCTCAAGTCAACCTCAAGGGTGTTTTGGGGGGTGGGGGGGCTGGCAAAATAAGGGCTTCTCTAGGAAGCCCACAGCCACAAAAGGCTTCCGTTTTGGGCTTGGCCATCACACACACCTCCAACATGCCTCTCATGTTCTCTCCCTCAGTTGCCTCCACCTCCAGTGCCGCGAAGGATTCACTCCAGCCAGCGGCAGGGCGTGACTTCTCCAGGATATGCTGGTGCCCAAGGTAGGGTGGTCTACTCTCACTCATTCAAAATGTGAGATTCGGCGATAACACTTAAGTCAACCAATGAGCCAAAAAGAAGAAGTTAAGTGGAGGCTCGAGAAAGAATCAGCATTTAATTGGAACAAAGTTAAAAAGCTGGGTAAACTGTTCCAAACATATGCAAGAAGAGACATATAAGGAGGGCCAACACCTTGGGGGAAGGTATGGCATCCTTTTATAGCTTCAGAGACGTCAGTTTAGTACCCAATTCTGGGCCCCTGCCTTCCTCGTAGCCCTGCATGGGCTGTGCAGAAAGGAACAGGTATTTGCCTGGTGTAACCCTGCCAAGCTACAGCATATTCCGTTCCGGGTACTGAGTTATAAAAAACCAAAACAACAAGCTAGCAGGAATTATATAACCTATGGCACGCGAGCCCCAACCAAACTTACCTGCACTGCGCATCCAGCTGATTTTCGGCCCGTTTGAGGCTGTTTTCACCCTCCCCAGGGGCTCAAGGGAAGCCTCTGCAGCTTCGGGTGGCCGAAAAAACGGGACTTCCGGAAATACCAGAAGTGCCAAAACGGGCCCGTTTTTTTGGCCTCCAAAGGCTGCAGAGGCTTCCCTCAAGCCCCTGGGAGGTGAAAATGGCCTCCCCCGGGCTCCAGAGGCCCTCCGGAGGCTGAAAACAGGCACTTCCAGTATTTCTAGAAAACGGCCTCAAACAGGCCGAAAATCATCTGTGAGGCGTGCGCATGCGCAGTCCAGGTAAGGGGGTGAGGCAGGGGTGTTGCACGCATATGCGCGGGGGGAGTGGGGCACATTGCATTGTGGGTGCTGGCACGCACTTTTGGCACACTACAAGAAAAAGGTTCGCCATCACGGAATTAGATCGTTGGTAGAAGCAAATGGCAGAGGCAATTACAAGAGCGAAGCAATTCGTACAGGAGCGGAATAGCAAGTTATTATTCTGTCCCACTAATTCTACCTATGTTACCATTATGTGCCTTCAAAGGTACACCTGTCTACCTCATCTAAGTAGATTCACACCCCCTAGGGAAAAAAATGACGTTAGCTGCTTGGTCTCTGCAGCCTCCACCTCCCTCCTCACTGCTCTAAATCCCGTTTCCCGTCTCGTTGCAGAGCATAATTTCAGCCCTACTTTACGAAGAAGGCAAACTCTGGGATCTTCAAGCTCTATGGTAACTCTTCATTGGCTCTTCTGCTCTAGCCCTGGAGAAAGGTTCCCTCTTCTCTTGGTCGTCTTCAAGGCCTGGGTCCTACCCTTAGCCCGCCACTCTTGGCACACCAACAAACTCAACAGACCCAAGATTTCACAGCTGGCTCTTCTCCTTCTTCCGCTCTTTCTCTAGCTCAGTGTTCCTCAACCTTGACTTTAAGATGGGTGGACTTCCATTCCCAGAATTCCCAAGCCCTCGTACAACTTTTAAGAACTTACGGGCTTCAGAATTCCCCCCGCGAACATGGTCTGGCTAGGGAATTCTGGGAGTTGAAGTCCACCCATCCTAAAGTCACCAAACGTTCAGAAATACTGATCTAGGGAGCATTCCCAGACTCTAGGACAACCTTTGCCAACTTGGGGTCTCCGGATGAGCTGGATTATCACCGCTCATCATCCAGGGATGGGCTTCAAAAAAATTTAGCAAACGGGTTGCTGGGTGGATGTGCCCGTGGTGGGTGTGGCCTAGTCGGCCTCCTGCACCATGGCCGGGGGGGCGTTTTTGCAAGACTCTCTGGAGGTTGGAAACGGGCCCATTTTTCACCCTCCCTGAGCCTCCATGCGGGCCCCGAGCTTACCTGGGATCCAAAATGGGCCATGTGGAGACTCCTGGGAGGGGTGGAGTTGGGTGGGAGGGGCAGAGCATGGTGGGCAGGGCCAGCCAGTCATTTCAACTACCAGTTTGGCGAACCAGATGTAAAATTAACACCCGGTTTGCTCGAACCGGTGCGAACCGGTAGCATCCAATCCCTGCCCTCACCCTCAAGCACTGGCTGGCTGTTGAGGGATTTGGCTCCTAATTCTTCCAGAGACTCATCCCTTCCTTTAGGCCGATGGACTTGCAAATGTCTCTTCTTCTACAGGAGATCATGCTAGATCCAGGCTACAGTACGATGGACAAACTTGGTGGTGAATTCAGCAGCAGGTAAGGGAGTCCGGAGGAGGCCTTGGGAACCAGCTCCCGTAGCTGCTGCCTAGAGGTGAAATAAAGTTTATTTTAGCTTTGTTTTCCTGACTTTTGCAGGAAGAGTGTAACTGATTCGGACGACTACGATGATGTGGATATGTAAGTTCTGACTTAACCGCTTATAGTTTAAAGCTGGCTGGGGAATTCTGGGAGTTGAAGTCCACTTGTCTTAAAATGGCCAAAGTTGAGAAACAAAACAGGAGGTCTTGACCATGGCAAAACAAAGGACTAATAAAACGATGAAGTAGCCACTAAACTCCATGAGCATAAGCCCACTTGGTCATTCTTTCTCTCCTAAATTCCCCTTCTCTGACCCTTCTTTTTTTCCTCTTCCTTCCAGCCCCAGCAGACCAGACCTAATCAGGTAACCTTTTCTCCTAGAATTCTTAAAATATCAAATGAGAGAACACGCAGTCATTTAGCCAAAAATTGGGAAGAGACGGATCTCAGGATCCAGCAAGGAGCTAGTCCCTAAGACTACGCGATTCCTGCTTGATATTTGGAAATAACAGTCCTGGAAGATAAATGTTTTCCTTCCTGTCTGAAGGGGGCTTGCCTCCCCAGGAGTGGCTCTTGGTGACTTTTCAATTATGGTGTCTTGCTTATAATGGGGCCCTTGGTGCTCTCTGAGTTTAGTTGTTTCCTTGCGGACGTTTCATGACCCAGCTAGGTAACATCATCAGTGCTAGAAGGGAGTGAGGTTTAAAAGCAGAGAGCAACCTCCACACCCTTCTAGTATTGATAATGTTACCTAGTAGGGCAGTGATGGGATTCAATTTTTTTTTACTACAGTTCTGTGAGTGTGGCTTGGTGGGCGTGGCAGGGGAAGGATACTGTAAAATTTCCATTCCCTCCCCACCCCACTAACCTGCTTTCCAGCTCCGTTCTCCTCTGCAGGGCAACCAAATAAGACCCAGCCGATCAGCTGGGATTGTTGCGGTTAGCCGGCAGCAGGTGCGGACAGTTGAGGAGAGCGAGGACTCAGGTGAGGGGCCAGGACCATCAGGGAGTGGACTGCTGCCTTCAGAGATTGTGGGGGCTGGCAGCAGCGATGAGGAGGTTCCGAGGAGGCTATGCCAAGTGCGCGTGTGCGCAGGGTTGCTCACAGGAAAGAGCAGCTCCAGCAGCATGGGTGACTCAGGAGTAAGGCTGTAAGGTAACGGCCCCTCCTTCAAGAAGATAAAAGCGAGCTGTGAATCGGGCATTCTTTGCAGGAAGCAAAGACGTTTTGAAACTCAGCCTCGTGGACATTGCGGTATCTTAAGTTGGTATTTGAAGACTCTTGCGTTGTGAAATAGGTCTTATCTGTGATTCTTGGCAGCCTCGCACAGTTTTGGCGAAGCTCGTGCCTATCAAAGCTAATTAGTTTGCAGCAGCCTTTTAACCGGGGATTCGTAAGAATCATTCAAAGTTTTCGGTTCCCTTTGGTTTGTGGTTTGTTTTATTGGAAAAGGGTTTGGGTCAGAACAGGGACTCAATGGGAGGCAGAGAAGAGATGGGGTTGGCGGGGCCATTCAGAGGTGGGATTCGCCAGTTCTCCGAACCACTCCAAATTTCCACTACTGGTTCTCTAGAACCGGTCCGAACCGGCTGAATACCATCTCTGTAGTAACGCCATGAAATATCTGCAACCAAGGTCAGGGAGCACCTGTTCAACCCCAACGTTACTCTCTATTAAGTAACGTTTTGCTAGAACAATTCATCGGAGATGCGGGGGGGAGAAAACAGGCAGCAAATGCCCCCCCCCCCCCCACTCAATCTCTCTGTTTTTGAACCTGGTCACTTATCTTTCCTTCCAGGGATGCTCAGCCTGTCGATCTTCCACCCCCGCTACCTCCCAAGGTAAACCCTCTGTGGGAGCAAAGTAAGTTTGCGACTCCCCTTCCTCTCCCCTTGCAGGTGGCGATACGCCAAGGTGAGTCCCATTCCTCCACTGGGCAGCCGTGGTCCAGGGCTCCCTTTCTCCTACCCACGTTCTTCCATGGGGGGTGTGTGTGCAGATTTAATCCATGGGTGCCCCCTTCTCCCCTCGGCCGCCATTAGCACAAGTTGGATTTTCCTGCCGACAAATGGATTTGATTCCCACTGAAATTTCTCTCTTTTAACAGCCGAGAGTTTGTCTCCCCTCGGACGAAACGGCAGTGGCTCGATCCCGCAACCGCTTTCCTGCAAAATCCCTAGTCCGGGGACGCTGTTCCAGTGGTCCCATCCTGAGTTGGCCCTCGCCACAAAGTAGTTCTGAGAGAGCCGAGGCCTTCCACCTCACAGCCAAATCCGGTACGACCAGTCAACATTTTTTATTTATTTTATTGATTTGTTTTGTCAGATGCTTATAATATAATAGAAATAAGAATAAACATAATAACTATGACTTGAAATTCTAGAACTAGAAAACCTTGAATTACGCCGTCTTCGGTCTGACTTAAGCATGGTATATAAAATCATACATTGCAATGTCCTACCTGTCAGTGAATACTTCAGCTTCAACCATAACAACACAAGAGCACACAATAGATACAAACTCAAAGTAAACCGCACCAAACTTGATTGCAGGAAATACGACTTCAGCAACAGAGTGGTCAATGTCTGGAATACTCTACCCGACTCTGTAGTTTCTTCCCCAAACCCCAAAAACTTTAACCTTAGACTGTCTACTATTGACCTCACCCCTTTCCTAAGAGGTCTGTAGGGGGCGTGCATAAGCGCACCAACGTGCCTACCGTCCCTGTCCTATTGTTTCTCTTATTCTTCTTTTATTTTTCTTATATGTACCCATTTCATGTATTCACAACTATGTATACACTTATACTTATTATCTTGTAAACAATTGGCAAATCAAATAAATAAATAAATAAATAAATAAATAAATAAATAAATATAAGAAATAGGAAATAATAATTGGGGACAATAGGACAGGGACGGTAGGCGTGATGGTGCGCTTATGCACGCCCCTTGCAGACCTCTTAGGAATAGGGTGAGGTCGATAGAGGTTAGTTGGAGGGTAAAGGAGTGGGGGTTTGAGCAGGTGACCACAGAATCAGGTAATGAGTTCCAGACATTGACCACTCTGTTGCTGAAATCGTACTTCCCGCAATCAAGTTGGGAGTGGTTTACATGAAGTTTATATCTGTTGTGTGCTCTTGTGTTGCTGTGGTTAAAGCTGAAATATTAACTGGTAAGACGTTGTAACGTATGATTTTATGTACTATGCTTAAGTTTAATCTTAGCCGGCATAGTTCAAGGTTGTCTAAGCCTAGAATCTCAAGTCTGATGGTGTAGGGTATTCTGTTGCGAACTTTCTGGTAAAATACTTCTGGACTCGCTCAATCGTATTTATGTCTGATATACAGTGCGGACTCCAGACAGCAGAGCTGTATTCAAGTATTGGTCAAATTTTTTTACTACCAGTTCTGTGGGCGTGGCTTGGTGGGTGTGGCTTGGTGGGCCTGGCAAGGGAAGGATAGCGTAAAATCTCCATTCCTTCCCCACTTCTGGGGGAAGGATACTGCAAAATCCCCATTCCCTCCCCACCCTACTAACCTGCTTTCCAGCTCCGTTCTCCTGTGCAGGGCAACCAAAGGAAGACCCAGCCAATCAGCGGGGACTCGGGAGGCGGAGAATAGATGGGGGCGGGGCCAGTCAGAGGCGGTATTTGCTGGTTCTCCGAACTACTCAAAATTTCCGCTACCGGTTCTCCAGAACTGGTCCAAACCGGCTAAATACCACCTCTGGGTACGACTTTCTCCCAGAAAGCGGGAATGAAACGATGGGAGGAGATGCTCCCAAACTTCATGGGGGGGTCCCAGGGTCATGTAACCCCCTTCTGCAACCCTCTGACAAACCAGAGTGAACAAGGAAGCTGGATTCACTTAACGACTGAGTTAGTTATTTATCACCTGCAGGGATTCACTTAACAGTGATAGGCGAGAAAGGTCGTAAAACTCCCTGAAGAAATGTCTCACTTTAAGAACAGAAATGCCTGGCTCAATTGTGGTCGTAAGTCAAGGACTGAGTGCAGAGGGAAAAAAAAATAGCTCGGAAGCAGGGACCCCTTTCATTCCTGGAACAAGCTTTTTAGGGGTTACATTCATATTAGAAGATTTAGGAGCGGTGCTGGTGGCCTAGAGGTGGAAGTCGCGCCTCACAATCAGGAGGCTGTGAGTTCAATCCTAGGGAGAGGTAGATGTTTTTTTCTCTCTGGGCACAATGAGAATCTCTCTGCTGAAACAAAACTCCGCCCTGGTGACAGGAAGGGCATCCGGCCAGTAAACACTCAGCTCCATTCAGTTGCCCAGACTCCGCCCCGCAGGGGATTATGGGGTCATTAAATGAAGATGAGGAATCCATAGGACCCAACTTGAGTTTGGAGAGTCCAGAGTAAAATAATAAGGGCTTAGTTTTGTTGACAGGTTGAGATCTGGGGGGTTGATATCCTTGGAGCAAGATTTGGTGGGGTGAGGTACTGACTGTTATCTTACTCTCCTGCAGTCCCAGAACTGCGTTCGGATCCCTTAGATGAGATGCCGCCCAGCCTTCCCCCTAAGATGGAGAGGAGACCGAAACTGGTAAGCGTGTTCAGCCTCCACATTGGGCCAATCGGCTCTGGTCCAAATCATTCCATTATTGCTCAAATTAAATTGTGGTTTTTTTTAATTGAGACTGCTAGGAAGAGAGAATAACTTGGACTTTTTTGAGGACCAAAATGCAGCAGGGCAAGGAATCTTTCTTCTCCTCCTCCTTTTCCACTCTTCCTCTCTTTATCCTTCTCTTTCCCTTTCCCCCTTTTCTTCTCCTTCTCCATCACCTTCTCCATTTTCTCCTCCTCCTCCTCTTCCCCTTTCCCTCTTTCCTTCTCCTCTATAGCCTTCTCCATTTTCTCCTTCTCCTTTCCCTCTGTCCCTTTCCCCTTTCCTTTTCCATCGCATTCTCCATCTTTCTCTCCTCCTCCTCCCCTTCTTTCTCCTTCACTTTCCTTTTCCCCCTTTCCCCCTTTCCTTCTCCTTCTCCATCGCCTCCATTTTTTCTCCCTCTCTTCCACCTCTTCCTCCTTGTCTCCTTTCCCTCCCCCTT